AAGAGGAGGAGAGGGAGAAGTTGGAATGGAGCACGGATTTCTGGTCTGGGCCCCGAGGTCACCAGGGGTCAATAAGATTTCAAAAGTGATTTTGCTTATGCCATATTTCTCTGTTCGCTCTTTTAACCTGCAAATGTCTGACGTACTATTGGATGGCACAGATTTCCATTTCATACTTTCCTGTGTTCTCCCAAAGCACTCTGGCTTTCTGCGGTGGATAGAGGGCTACATCCGCACGGAAAAACTAGGATCAACCAGGGCCACGTCTACAAACACTGAGCTCTCCCAGGTACGCAGATGTTTAGGGTTGTAACTATGGGTCTTGAGGAAACAATTGTCATCATGACACACTGAGCCAAAGTGTCCCACTATTCGCAGTGTGGCAGGCGCCACGAGACTCGCTTCACTCCAGTTCTCACGTAGGACGCTTTAATAAGCATCGGAGAGGGGGAATCGCTGCTTTGCATCAGTTTAGACACACCCACAGCCGAGAAGAGCCAGGGAAGGGATTTGAACCTACTTCTGACTCCAAAGCTCCTATTCACTCATCCCCTCCTTGCTCGACTAGGCAGAAGACAGATTAGACCCGACTGAGTCAGAGGAGCTGAATTCTGCACAGTCCTCTCCTAATCTCAAACATTCAATGGCCCAGAGCCAGAAGGGATTATCTGCTTTTGCTTCTTGTCTTTATTTCTTTTCCCTCGCTCCCCTCCTTAAGGTAAACAGAGCAGTGAGAAGAAGCCGCCTTCAACCCGGAGGTTCCACGATGCTACTGTCCTTTTGCCACTGAGTGATCGGGTATCACCGAGGTGACAGCCTGGCTAGAGGCTGCTCGGTGATGTTCCACTCAACAACGCCCAGCCCTCCTCCAAGCAGAGGAGAAGAAAGGAAAACCATCCGACAAATTAATTCTTTGGTCCCCAGCAATTATACCGGCCAGAACTACTGAATTATTTAAAACTAAAAATTAATTATTCAATGACAGTTCACCAGAAGCATTTCTGGCCATACAGGCACAGAGAAAAGCAGGACAAGCTGCCGGATCAGGATTCAAATGCAGTGGAGCAAGTGTCTGAGCTTCCGCGTGCGGGGTGGGCCTGGGAACGAGCCCAGGGAGTGGGGCGCACTCAGCCCGGCGACATAGACAGGAAATCCACCAGCTGTCTGAATGCGAGTCCCCTTGCCGTTAGCAGACCAAGACTCTGAGGGCTAAAGCCTCTTTCATTTTTGTTTTTCCTCTGTATCAGTGGATGCTTCAGGGAAATGTAATTTTTAGACAAAGCTACATTAGGCACCAGCTTCTCCTAAAATGGCCTTGCCTAGTCTTTTTCTGATAAGCTGGGCAGAGCAGAACATGAGATCCATTGCCAGGTGAATGTTTTGCAGGGCGTATGAATGAACTTATTCAATGAATCTCTTAATGATTTCCTGAGGAGTCAATATTTTTCCACCAAATTAAAAAAAAAACAATTTAAATTTATTCAGAGACAAGGTTTCACTCTGTTTCCCAGGTTGGAATGTAGTGGCACGATCATAACTCACTGCAGCCTCAGACTCCTGGGCTCAAGTGATCTCCTGCCTCAGCTTCCCAAATACTTAGGACTACAGGCACATGCCACCACGCCCAGCTAATTTTTTTTTATCTTTTGTAGAGATGGGGGTCTTGCTATGTTGCCCAGGCTGGTCTCAAACTCCCAGCCTCCAGCAATCCTCCTGCTTCAGCGTCCCAAAGGGCTGGGATTAGAGGTGTGAGCCACCAAGCCCAGCCTCCACCAAATATTTTAAAAACTTTTTATTTTGAAGTAATTATAAACTCCACAGGAAGTTCCAAAAAATAGTACAGAGAAGCTTCTTTTTTTTTTTTAACACTTATTTTATTTTATTTCAAAGTATTACAGGACAGAGAAGCTTCTTGTGCCTGTCACCAACTACCTCTAATGATAACTTACATAGCTGTAGGGCATGCTGAAACCAGGAAATCAACATAGGCACAACATAATTATTGAGTCTACATGGATTTCTCATTTTTCACTCACTCACAGTATTGGTGTGTCTTTTTTTTTTTTTTTTTTTTTTTGAAACAGAATCTCCCTTCTTTGGTCTGGTAAAGTGCTGTGGCATCATCATGGCTCACAGCAACCTCAAACTCCTGGGCTCAAGTGCTCCTCCTGCCTCAACATCCCACGTAGCTGGGACTACAGTTGCATGTCATCACACTTGGCTAATTTTTCTATTTTTTTTAGTAGAGACGGGGTCTTGAACTCCTGAGCTGAAGCGATCCTCCTGCCCAGGCCTCCCAGAGTGTTAGGATTATAGGCGTGAGCCACCGCACCCAGCCATGGGTACGTCTTTGTGTATAATTCTATGAAATGATGCCGAATGTATAGATTTGTATAAGCCCCATCACTCTCAAGACATGGAACAATTTCATAACCACGAGGGAAGTCCCCAGACACCCATTTATGGTCACATCTTCCTTCTCCTCCCCCAACACCAGGCAACCAGTGATCTGTTCTCCACTATAATTTTGTTATTTCAAGGATGTTCTTTAAATGCAATCAGACAATGTATAATCTTTGGAGACTGGCTTTTTATGCTCAGTGTAATTCTCTGGAGACTGATCCAAGTTATGCATATCAACAATGAGTATGTTCCTTCTTGTCACTAAGTCATATTTCATTTGTTGGACTTATGACCATTCACCCCTTGAAGGACATCAGGGCTGATGGCAGTGTTTGCCTACTACAAATCCTCCTGTGGACATCTGTGGACAGGAGTTCATGTGAACCTAAGGTTTCATTTCTCTACAATACATGCCCAGGTGTACTGCACAGTCACGTGGCTAGTGTTGTTTTCCAGAGAAGATCCAACTAACTTTTAACCATTTTATTTTTGTCCCCCTTTTCAGGTCCAAAGAGAACCATGTTTGCACATGGTTCTAACTATTTGGGCTCCTGGTGAGATCTATCATTCGCCTCAAAAATCTTAAAACATTCTTGGCTTAAGTGATTGAACATTACCCAATCCATTTATTTTATGCAAGAATCCTGGATGGGAAATAACAAGTGGCTGGTTCAAAAGCTTGCTTTAAGAAAGCAAAAGAAAAATAAAGAGCTTCTAAGAGGTAATATTTTTCAGGAGCCAAAGAAGTCCAGAAAACAATGTAAGCTTTCATTTGGCAGAGCTCTCGTGAGCAAGAATTTCCTAGGCAGGCACGGATAATGTATGGCAGGATCCCATGGGACCTCTTTGCAGGGCCTGCAGGAACTAAGCGTCACTAAAGAAATCAAACATTAGTATAAACAGCCGTGTTTCCTTTCCCACCTCTGCATGCTGGACTGGGATCTGAGGCCAGCAGCGTGGGCTGTGGCATCCGTCAGGACAGCCCAAAGAGCGAGTGTGGCACTGTCTCCTACCCCACCCCCATCCCGTGCCACACAGTCTCACTCGCTCTGGTCGTTTCAACATCAACTCTTCTTTCATGATGAGTTGGTAAAAAATGCAGGCACCACCCTCAAGGTTAATTTTGCACTACATTTTGATTGCAATTGTTGGTTTTCATTGCCCACAGTAAAAATTTAGCAACAATTTTCACCCTCCAGGGGGAAAACCATGCTGAGTGAGAAAGCATGTTTTTAATGCCTTGCTTCTGGCCAGAAGAAAATATCGTGTCCTTCACTCCTGCAGGCAAGAAGGGGACCAGGCCAGACCATCATTGCTATATGCATCACCCCAGTGAGGAGTCCGGCAAGGACCAGCACAGAAACACACTCACTGCATTCTCCATCCTTCGCCCCCAATGGGCCTAGTTCACAGTGCTAAACAGGCACTGTTTCATTTTCCCCTCACATGCAGAGAGCAAGGGCTCTGTTTTGTTTATTGCTGCAGCCCAGTGGACAAGAAAGCTGCTGTTCCATCGTAGGTTTTCAATAAACATTTGTGGAATGCCTTCTGCAGGCATTTGACAGCTACAACAATATAATAATATCATAAGTCTCTATTGCTCTGTCATTCATTTTATCAGAATGGCAAAATGGTTATTAGCACAGAACTCAGGAATCAGACTGCCTGGGCTTAAAGACGTCTCCATTGCATACCAGCTACTTAGGCTCTTCCACTAAGACTTCCTAATGGTAAAATCAGGGATAAAAATAGTATTCTGTTGGGTGTGATGACGCGTGCCTGTAGCCCCAGCTACTTGAGAGGCTGAGGTGGGAGGCTCACTTGAGCTCAGCCTGGACAACACAGTTAGATCCTACCTCTTAAAAAAAAAAAAGAAAGGACCTTCTCCTTCTGTACTGGTTAAATTGGGTGGCCTCAAAAACATATATTCAAGTCTTAATCCTGGTACTTGTAAATGTAAGTTTATTTGGTGTTTGCAGATGGAATCAATTTATGATGATGTCATATCAGATTAGCGTGGACCCTAACCCTAGGGCCCATTACCCTTTTAGGAAGAAGGAAATCTGGACACAGAAACAGAGGAGACAGACAGACACACACACAGGGAGTGAAGATAGAGACGAACATTGGAGCTCTGCTGTCACAGGCCAAGGAACGTCTGGAACCAGCAGAATATAGGAAGAAGCAAGGACGGATCCTCCCCTAGAGTGTGGCCCTGCCAACGCCTTGATTTAGGACTTCCAGCCTCCAGAACTGTGAGAAAATAAATTTCTGGTTTGTGATAACATGTTATTGCAGCCATAGGAAACTAATACACCTGCCCAGTGAAATTACTGGGAGGATGAAATTAGCTATGGAACACACAAGAAAGGTTTGCCAGAGAAGGCTTTGTTACATTTCTGTGGCCTTCACATGTATTAAACCATTGCTTCCTCCTCCCACGGTTATAGTCACCACACTCCCCACATTTGCAAAATAGTATTCACAATCCCTTTACCATATGTTGACACTGTGTCCCAATTATTGCATCATTTGTTTCCTAGGGCACAACTCGTTCTGCTATGACTATCGCCAAGGTGAGGACTAAATCGCACAAGGTTACATGAGCTTGCAAGATGAAGGCGAGATGGGGAGGTAGGTGGGAGGAGGAGGGAGGGGTTGGAGGGAGACAGAGCAAGAAAGGGAGAGAGGGAGAGGAGAGGGGGCAGGAGAGAGAGGAACTACAAATAGAAGACCTTAATTCCAGCCATTAAAATTCCAGCCAAACCCACCAGACTGTCAGAATCTGCCCTGTCACATGTGCTCACATCCACATAGAAAAGATGTGATTTGTTTTCCTAGTGAATTCATGGCAAATACCGTCAGTGGTGAAATACAAGATGTGAAAACTCTTTCTCTGAAAATATAGGTGGGGGAAAAATGATGCAATTAGGTAGAGAAATAGCTGCCTTGGAAAACAAGTTTCCTAAGTGGAAGAAACTCTAGGAGAGGGAAGAGGCCCCCTTGTGTGTCTTCTCCAACTCTGTGTTTATTTTCCAGTCCCAACAGATTCCTGTTAAAATGTGCATGCCAAAATTTCATTTTTAACAACTGCTACCCCAGGTATTCATTAGTGTCTTTTCCACTGCCTCCAAAATCACGTACAGTGATCTGAGTCGCTGGGGAATGGCAGGAGGCCAAAGACTTTGGAAGAACTCGTCTCTGTGGCGATGTGCGGGGAGGGTCCCAGAGGACAGCACCTGGCATCAGCCCATCCGTAGAGAGGGCAGAACAAAGGTGGCTCACGGCACCATCAGCACACTGGCTTGGGATAGCAGTCGCTGGCAAAGGTAGCGTGTTTTTGAAACTTGCACCTTTGTGTTGTACAAGGAGAAACAGATAATAAAGCTCCTCATTCTGATGAAATTCCCTTTAATATAAGAAAACTCACATGGTGAGGAGTCACCGTGTGCTTTAAAAAGTAGTTATTAAATCAAACTAAAATGTGCACATCATTAAATCAAAGAGTATTATTGGCAGGGTGCGCTCATGCCTCTAATCCTAGCACTTTGGGAGGCCGAGGCAGGAGGATCACTTGAGTCCTGGAGTTTGAGCTATAATGATGCCACTACACTCCAGCCCAGGTGACAGAGTGAGACTCTGTCTCAAAAAAAGAAAAAACCTATTGTCAAGGCTCTGTTCCATCTGTCCTCACCCCCACCTTCCTCATTGCTCGGCATATGGGCAACAACCTTTCACTCTTATGTTTCTTCTAGAATTTTCCTTCGTATTTCTAAATAATCTGTGTGTACTGTTATTTCTCAGTTTATTGATTTTAGCCATTTTGTAAACTTCTGTTGTGATACAGGAGAGTTTTTCCGGCCTAATTACCCCAGTTCACCTCCCCCTGTCCCCTCAACTTAGATACTGTACATTTTTATAGTCTTTATATTATCATGGTTTCACATGTTCTCTGCTAATCTGAGCAGCAAACTATGACCACATTTCGTTTCTTGTACATCTCTGAATATTTTCTGGAATTAATGTAATTGCTTAGTTTTCTAGAAATGTTCTCTGTTTTTTCCCAAATGCTTTCCAACACCTCTTTGATGCTTCCCTAAATCCTCAGATGCAGAAAGGAACCTAACTTATCTGTGCCCATCCCGTCCAGGGCTCATAGCCAAGAGCCCTGACCCTCTGCTCTGAGTGCACTGGCTTGATCTTTAAACCCAGCACTGGCTTGATCTTTAAACCCAGCACATGGCCGGCCAGCCAGAGTCCTGAAATGCCCCAACACCTCCCCCTCTCCCCCCTCCCGTCTCCTCTCTTCTCTGGCGTGGGATCTGGCCCTGGTTTCCTTGTCTCTCTTGGTTTACTACTTTATGTTGCTGAAATACATTCTCCAGCAGCTCCTGCCGAGAGCTTTGGTAACGTGTTCACTCTGCCCTTGTTCTAGCTGAGCGAGAGCCGCCCGCGTTGGAAGCCGCCCCAGAATACGAGCGTTCCTCCACTCCCGCTCCAGCACTGCCCCTTGAGGAACCTGCTGCCTTGGGACTCTCCGTGTGACCCGTTTTTCTCCCTAGAACTTTTTAGGCCAACACTGCCCAAAGTCAGTTTCAATTTTCTAATAGCCTTAATTCAAAAGGTAAAAAGAAAAGTGACATTAATTTTCATAGTGTATTTTATTTAATCCTGTATATCAAAAATGTTATCATTTCAACCCGTAATCACTCTGAACATGATCGCTGTGACATTTGGCTAAGTCTGCGATATGGGGTGTGTACTGCATGCTCACAGCACAGCTCGGTGGGGACCTGCCGCGTGCCACTGGGGCTGATGGCTGCTGCCCGACAGTGCGGTTCTAGCGTCTTCTCTCCATCCCTGGAGTCCTGGGGCCCCCACAGTTGTCCTTGTTGGCATCTTTATTCTCTGGGCTTGTCCCTTCAGAGTCCTTCCAGAGTCACACCTCTTATGCCACCATTGCCGAGTCCCCCTCTAGCGTCAAAGTTTCTCCCAGTAGGCCTGAGGTTTCTTAAAGCAGTGGCTTTAAGTGGCTTGGATTCCTGCATGCACTAGCACCTAAAGCTCCAAATTCTTGGTGCTCAAGTATTTGAGTGGAGAAGAGGGTCTTTTAACCACTTCGGTACGGCGCTCACCGGCCGCGAAAACTTGCCCACAGCCGGCACTCCCAGTCTGCATGATAGTTTGTGCTGTGCATTGACGATGCATCCGTTTTGTTCTAGTGTGATGAGGAAAGCTTTAAAGCACTGAAAGCTTGTTTTACTTTACAGGCAGCTTTACTTGTCATGTAAATCAGAATAGGTAACATATACATATATGTTTTCATTACGTTATTTTTAAATGTTCACAATTTTATTTTGATAAATGAAAAATTAGAAAAGTCATATCACAGCTTTCGGCTAAAGTCACTGTGCACGTTCATCTGTGGCTGTCGATTATAGTCGACGCTGGTACCGAAGTGGTTAAGGATATGCAGCAGGCCAATCTTAGTGTCAGTCACACTGGGTCATGCCATTGTCCCTGGATTTCTCAAGTCCCCGACATATGGCCTGCAATTTCAGATGTGCTCTTGGGATCCTGAAGGATTTCTTAGGATTTCAACATTTCCTGCTATAGAGCCAGTAATTCCTGGAAGGGGAGCCTCTTTGGCTCTTACTGAGTAGCATGTAGGAAGAAAACTGGTATCCAGCCAGCAGAGCAAGACTTGGCCTCAGTGGGTCTCAGGTGTGGAGCACGGGGCTGGGCCGGAAGAGGGAGGGAGGGACAGAGGGTAAGGAGGGAGGGACAAGGGCAGATCCTGTCTCCTTCCAGTGTTCTTGGAGAACTCAAGGTATCTAGGTGTGCTCTCCCTCCCAGCCTCCCTCTTTTTCTCCCTCCCTCTCTGTCTTGCCCTCCTTCCTTCCATCTTTCCCCCTCACCACCAATCTCTCTCTCTCTCTCTCTCCCCCTACTTCCCATGACAGACCAGACCCAGAGGTCCCCACCAGGCTTAAACATAGCATAATCCCTCTTAGGAGGCAAAAGATTCCTCCCTCATGTTGGTCATCATAAAGCCACAGATAAGAGCATGCCACATGATGCACTTGCCAAATAATGTTTACAATCAGCTGGGTGCTGTGTTAAACACTTCTACAAATATGAGCCCACTGAATCCTCATAACAACCCCAAAGGAGGCAGTGTTTCTGTCCTCGTTTTGCAGATGAGAAAACTGAGGCCCAGAGAGGGTCAGTGGGTAGCCTGGGTGTGTCCCCAGGTGGTGGCACCACACTGCATGCTCTCAGCCATCAGTGGCGGCTCCCTGTCCCCGCAGGGTTATAGCGCAGTTGGATGGAGTGGCAGACATGTTTGGGTGTTTTGCCGTGAAATGGTTTACTCCAAAAATAAAGCAAGCCTATGGGTGCTGAACTGAATTTTGCAGAGTGGATTTAAATCCAGAATTTCGCAGAGTGGGTTTAAATGCAGAACTTGAGAGCAAGTTCTGAGTTCTAAATGCTCCATCTGCTTCCATTGTGACCAGAAATGAAAGCCGATGGTGCGACTGACTCCCCCCACACCCTGCCCAGTGATGACCCTGAGTTTAGTTCTTCCCTTCACCCCACCCTACCTGGACCCCCAGGGAAAGCCAGGCACGTATCTAAATGTCCAGTAGCACCTTTGAATGTGAAAATCCCACTTAATTATATGCCAACCAAATTTTAGTCCAACTGCGAACACATTTTGTTTTTTCCTTCCTGCCTTATTCAGCTTTCCTGCTTTCAGGGTTTACAACATGCTCATGAATTTCAAACCTCTGTACATTTCTTGCGTGGTGCCAGAAAGCTCATAATTAACGAGATCTAAGGAATCCACTAATTTGCATTTGGGGATGATTTTGACAGGAGCTGGCAAGATCGAACCTCAACTGCACGAGGGAAGGGCTTGCTAATCATTTTAATGGTGTAAACATGGCAGAGACCAGATAAACATATGCTTCAGGTCATGGAGCTATGATGATTGCCTACATCCATGTAAACAGTTCATGTTATTTTCTACTTTCTGTTTCGTACATAATATCTGATCTTTGGTTTTCAGGACTTGGTTTAGCTACTCCATCCTTGGGTAACATGATCTCACCTCTTAATATCCTACAATTTCAGCGGTTCTGCAATGCTAGATCCTTTATGTAACGACTCACCCCAGGGGAGAGACTGAGGAAGGGGAGAACATGTTTTCGGAATCAGTGAGCAGACCCTTGCTGTCCGTTTGCTAAAGAGGACACAGGCTGGATAAATAAATATCCCAAACTTGGAAACAGGGACATCTGTGATAAAGCCTCCCGAGCCACGAATATGTATTCTAGTCTGAAAGAAAGAACTGGTAACTGCTGATCTGTTCAGGAGCTGCAAGGCGTCCCCTTATTTATTTATCAGGAAATAAATGAATACAGAAATGTGATTTTTGAGTCTGAGTATAATTTTTCAACAACCATCTACGAATAATTAGCTAATTCAGGGCAAGTGTTTTCAAAAGTGTGTTAAAATAGAGCTCTGATAAATGAATTGGCACAGGTTCTCCTTTCACAAGGCTAATAAATTATTTTTCATGCATTTAGTCAATATTAAAATAACTAGAAATTGAGTTTTTCCTTACTGTGGCCCTGATATTTTTAGCATGCATCAAAAAATGTGACATTAGGTATTCCAAATATATTTCTGGATTCTAGCAGGAAGCCAACACAGTAAAAATACAAGAACATTAGTGGACACGGCAAAGGCCAGCAACGGCCCACAGCCCGGAGAGAGGAGACGTCCTTTGCTCCCGCCCCGCGCCTGCAGGGCCCACGTCCCCGGCTCCTCTCGCCCAGGCCTCCCGGCTTCTGCCCTGGTCTCTCTCACCACCACCCTCCGACCTGTCACTACACATACCACTCACTCTATTTTTTTAAAATCTTTTTTTCTACTGTGGTAAAATATTCATAACACAAAAATTACCACTTTAGCCATTTTTAAGTGTGCAGTTCACAGCATTAATGACATTCACAATGTTGTGTAGCCGTCAATCACCATCACTACCTCCAGAACGTTCTCTGCTTCCCAAACTGAAACTCCGTCCCCACTGAGCAATGGCCCCTCTGGCCCTCCTGCCCGGCTCCCGGGAATCACCGTTCTACTTTCTAGTCTCTTCTGTCTCTAGGAATCTGCCCTTTCTACATATTTCATGTCAGAGAATCAGACACTATTTGTCCTGTTATACGTTTGGCTTATTTCACCCGGCCCAGAACTTCCAAGGCTCATCCACGCCGCGGCGGACCGGAACTTCCTTCCTTCCTTCCTAAGGACGCATGATACCCAGCGTGCGCATGCGCCACCTGCGTTCCTCCAATCACGCGCGGCCGGGCTGGCGCTGTTTCTGCCTTCTGACCATGGCGGTAAGTAACTGTGCCGGGAACAGTGGGGTGCACGTGTGTGGGAGGGTTCCTGCTTTCTATTCTGGCGTTATCGACCTAATTCTGTAGAATTTCCCAATCATTTAGGAACTCTGTGTTTAGCCCGTTGAGGAACAGCCCACCTGCTTCCACCAGTGGCTGCGCCATTCTACCCTGCCGTCAGCAGCGGACCAGAGTTCCGATTTCTCCACGTCCTTGCCCACACTTGTCACTTTTTCTTCGTTGGTTGGTTGGTTTGTTGTTTAATTACAGTTATCCCAGTCGGTGTGAGCAGCAGGGCTGAAGGCCTCCTCCGAGGGTGGTGGAGCCCTGGGGCCTGGGTAAGCAGGAAGCCCTGAAGCCCCTGGGATGGAGCCAACAGAAGGGCATCAAAGGGAGGGCGGGAAGGGAAGTCCCTCGAGTGTCCACAGAGCTGCCCTTAGTGGGCACAAACACAGGACAGGGGAGGTAAGCTGGGCACTGGATTTATGCTGTTAATCAGCCTTGCCGGGACGTGGGGATCTGGCCTGTGTCCCTGAGTTGGGTCTGCACACCCGAAGGAAGAAATGCACCCTTGTATCTCTTTCCCTTTGCAATGACCTGAGAAGAGCAAGAGAACTCAGAGAGAACAGGGCCAGCTGCTGCTCCACTGAAAGTTTTTCATGAACTCTAGTCTCTGAGCAATACGGTGGGCCTGGAATTCACTCGAAATATTGTCCCCACAAACGCGATCAATTTGTAGCCAAAGAGCTGGAGAGAGTGGGGGAGTAGGATCAATAGGCCATTACACAACCACTGCGGAAAGCGGCTCTCCCGGCCACACACCTTCTGAAGAAACATCAAGAGAAAGAAATAGGTGTATTATACCGCACAGCGTGTAGCCATCACATGCAGTCACCATCGAGGATGTCTGCCTGTGGTTTTTTTCCTTTGTTATTGTAATATACAATTAAACCATAAGCAATTTTAGGTCTTTAAGAGATACAAATAGAGGAAAATCAATGGGATTTGGGTGTTTTCACAGTTACCTTTTTGCATGTGGGGGGGGAAAAAGACATAACATGAAATTTACCGTATTAACCAGTTATATTAATAAGTGCACAGTTGAGTGGTGTTAAATATATTCACAGTGACCTACGACAGATCTCCAAAACCTGTTCA